GCAGATCTTACGTAGTACGCTCTCTACCTCCCCCGGTAGGAAAGAGCGGAGGGTGTGAACGCTATGTGTCTAAGCCGCATGCGAATAAGGTGGGCAGTGACGCGTGACGCGTGTGTCGACGGGCGACCTCCCTTCTCGCTGGACGGCTGCGGGCAACGCCAGCGCCAGCAAGCGGCGGCGAGGCGGCTCGACCATGGTGGTCCCCGGGCCGCGCGGCGAGGAACGCGCCGCTGGCCGGCCCTCATCTGCCATCTGACGACGCCGGCTTCGCGCCACGCTCGTCGTGCTGCTGGCCATCACTGGTGGTTGTCCGTTTTTTGGCCTTTGTGGGCCTTTTAGGTTTTTTCGGCTTCCTCTGCGTCAAAGCTGACGCCCCTGTCCTCGCACAAGAGCCCCGACGCCGCCCCCGCCCCGGCGGCCCGGCCCGCCGCCGCCGCCGGCGTCGTCAAGAAGACGGCCAAGAGCTGCTCTACTCGTAGGCGTTTGCCTCGCAGCGCTTTCTTCGCGATGCCAGTGATTCTCGGCAGGGGAGGAGGACGGCAAACGGACGGTATCGTGACTGCCCTCTTCTCGTCAGTGTTCCTCCTTTAAGCTTCCGATATACGTGGGGAACAGAGACGGCTACCCTATGCTCCAGAAGTAAGCAGCGGTTCTCCGTCGCGATATCGTTTGCTCACCTATCGACATTGTATATTCCTCCTTCACAACACACTGTCTAAGGAGATACGCAAATAATTCAAGACAGTGAGCGGTCGTGTTCGAGCTCTGCGTCCAGGCTTCCGGCCCCACCGCCGCGCGTGGGCAGCGGCGCGCGGGGAGCGGCGTGGGGCGCGATCGCAGGCGGCGCGGGCGTCGGCCGGCGGGTCCGGGGGCTCGGGGACGCCTCGCCACCGCCCCCTCCGCCCTGTCCGCCCGCTCCACCCCCGGCCCCGCGGCCCGCATCCCTCGCTGGCCGTCCACTTCCCACAACTTCTGTCGCGCCACACGTTTTGGTCTCGAGATTTCATAATCCTGGCACTGAAATTCGAAATTTATGTTGGATAAAATACACGTTGCTTAGTCAAAAACTGTGCCGATTTACGCTTCCGAATGAGGAGCATGAATTCGGGATGATTGATTTTTTGCTAATGTCCTTTTTCCCGATCTGCAGCAGTTGCTTTAGTGACTGAACTGAGATCATGACTTAAATTCCACGAACCGTTTGGAGTGTTATTGGAAACTGTTAAGGCATCTCTTTTGGTTTGGATTTCATGGGCAAATGAGCAGTGTAAAAATGCTCGTTTTTTCGTCGTGAAAACTGGGCAATGTCTATGTGGGCTAGTGCTACAGATTGCAACTTTTCTTTCACTACGCAACAATTGACTTTTTACAGCTCGTTTCATACAAGCTAAAGCGATCCTTTCATTTACATTTTTTTTTTGATCCACTCGAATTGAATATTCTTCATTCAAAGCATTATGCTTCGCTTGGTAGGAATAAAGAAATAAGAAGAAATAATTAATAAGAATGCCCTATGGGACTCGAATCACAGAACTTAGTAAAAAGTGTCTCTTAGAAGGCAAAAAATAATTCAGAATATGTTGTCCTTTTCTTCAGTAATTTCAGTCATCTTCAGGTCCTTTCGCGCTTATATTTGGTAAGTTGGTTCGCGTCTCCTGTTCACGTTCTCATATTTTTCAAAGTAATGCAACTGTTGAATTAGAGAAATTTCAAAAATTAAGCCACGGGAAAGCTCTATTTTCAGCCGTAAAGAAGTGTGGGTTTACGCGTGTCATACAATTTTGCAATGACATTTTAACTTGTTTTTGCTTAGGTAGACGGTTGGTCCCGCGCAAAAGGGGTTTCGCCTGGTACATTCCAATGTAGCGGCCTTGGAGGGGATGAACCGCTAGCTTCTTCGCCGCCCAGGGCATAGGGGCAGGAGGCGAAGGCCCGGCTGGCAGCTTCAGGGCCGAGCTCACCTCGCTCAGCCCAGTCATTTGTTATATCAGTATTATTATTTAATATATTGCTTTTATTCTATAAACGCAGCTCAAACTCTTACCTCTAGGACTGTAACTCCTTGGGGAAGCTTCTCGCCGGTCGGTTGTTTGGCGACTGGAGAGCGAATGAGGGGGTTTGCGGACTTCGGATTTTACGATTATGTTTTCTCGACAACTTTGGCTTAGCCCTTGACATACTTCATCTTCTGAGTCAGTGTTTATCGCAAAGCTATCAGATATAGAATCACTGTTTTTTATGTAGTCTTCACCAAAATGTAGGTCTGAAATTGTATTTCTTCTCATAAATTAAATTTCCATTATCGATTCCTGTGGGTTCTTACACTGTCAACCAAACATAAATTGATAATGTAGAATAATGGTTTTTCTAGACGCTAGTTTTCTGTGAATGAAAGGTCCACGGTAAACCCAGTTCCTGTCTCGTACTGAATCTATTAAGATATTTCACTCAAAGACCAGAACTGATGACAACAATTCGTAGGTAGGACTTATAGAGCAACAATAAAAAGATATGACATGTAAGGACATCCAATTGTTCTGTGAAAGGGTTTCCACCTTGTGTGGGTTTAACTTTGAAGCATACTCGAAAAAAATATAATCAACTCTAAGTTTGTACATAAATCTATACATTTGTAGAGAAATGGTTTCAAAGTAATACAAGCACCCCACAGGATGTATTAATTTATATATGTTTGCCAAACTACCATCTAAGGTTTGGCGAAAATGTGTATCACGTGTGAGCCATGGTTATTCATATTAATTTATTTTGTGAATAAAATGTAACAAAAGAAATTATTTAATTATTAAATTGATATAGTGTGAAGATAAATGTAATGAATGTTCTAAACAAAATTCTTAGTTATTTTTTTGTGAATTTATGGTTATAACATTTCAATAAAGGATTGAATTATTAAGATATTATTTCCTGATTCCTTCTCAGATCCACTTTATGTTTTATCCACCTTTAACAAATTAAATGCTGATAGACCTACATCAGCTGTCGGGACAGTAAAGAGTAAGAATTACTTCATACTTTATCTTCGTACTACTTGGAAATGCTGTTGAAAAATGTTATTTGTGAAAAATCGATGTTTAACATTTTACGGAAATACACATTTTAAAGCTATTTGTGCTACAAACAGCACATTACTTTCTCGCAATATTTACAATTTTTGTCGTTCATGTCACCGACGTGACCGCCCCATTCACTGCTTCGTTTAATTTACAAAACAGCTTTACTTTCCATGGCGCACGCAAAGCAACTTAACCAACTTTTACAAAAAAATTGTATATGCACCTGTATTTAAAAGAGCTAATTTTGTTAACAATAGACTGAATTCTGAGGCAAAAATCTCTTTCTTCAATTTATGTAAGTATTAAGTGACTCAGTCTTGCTTTTTTTTAAATTAATCGTTGGGTGGCGTCGAATATAACGATACAGATTCTTGATAAAACTACAAGAGGATGTTTATTAACCAATATGACAATTAAATTATTTGAGAATCGTTTCTAGGAAAAGTTTTCTTTTCGAATTTGTGCAAGATTACAAATTACCAAGTTCAATATTAGATTATGCTTGTCAGTTTTCAATTTACTTTCTTTATTAGTAATTCCTTTTACAGCTGGAAATTAGTGAAAATAAAATTGGATCGTAATTCCACTTTGAAGCTACCTTTACTTAGCACAAAGCCAACTGCGGGTAAGGATTTAGGGCGGGAGCTGTTCCGCTACATAGGGCCTTGGTGAAATCACCTGACATTGATTCAAGTACACAGTGACAAACGATTCTATGATAAACGTTTAACCTGATAAAACGCATTACCATAACCTCGTCGAAAAAACGTACTTCGTGATTTGGAAAAAACTCTATGTATGGGCTATTAAATACATCGTGTGAAGTTTTACGATACTTCGGCTTTGGTCCTCCACTCCGTTAACCATAATATCCACACTCCGCTGTTTAATTAAAACAACCATTATAACCATTCATCGTTTCATGATGTACTATTGAATATTTATAGGAAATCCTCAAAAAAAGTTTTAAGCTGGGACTATTTCCAAATGTTGTAAATTTTAAAAAGAAACACATAAAAACGCTAAAAACTATACAAAATTTAAATGGCCACCACATCAGGCGGCGGCGGATGTATCCAAAAAAAATAAATTTCACTTTCTTATCCTTTTACAATCCTCTTCCCAATTTTACTGGGCCAAATAATAAAGCGCTGCAACTTATCTTTTATCTTTTACTTAGGCGGTTAATCTGTTTGTTTCGCATGTCGTTGATTGTGTAATAACATCACTTTAATTACCCAATAACAAAAAACATTTTTTGATTTTTCAAACCTCTTTCAGTTATTTTTATCATATTTGGCGCATTTAGCGAACTACTCTCTCTCTGTCT